CAAAATTGGGAAAGGTTGTCTTTTCAAAGGCTTCCTTTATAAAACACATGGTTACAACAGGACAGCATCACGTTCTCAGCAACCTGACTTTATAAAAGAGCTGACCAACATCCACAATTGTATTGGCTGGGTCAATTAATAGTGGAGAAGGCTGAGATTTCTAAGACTTGTTGAAAGAAGTGTCCATCTGGGTTCAGTTCGAAGTGGGAAGAAAGACACTGGAAACATGGAGACTGCTTGGAAAAATGGTTTCATGGTGGACAGGACCACATGGTTCAAGATCCTGGGCAAAAAAAAAACCCAAATGGGTGGGAGATATATATTTATACCCTCTCTTGGGGCCCACCTTGGATCTTCCTGTTCCTGTTTAAGAAGTGTACTGATTGGTTGAGGGCAAATTCTACCTTTGTTGGATCTTGGGTGAGGGCATTTGCTTATCTCTTTCTCTGTTAAGTGCAGACGTCTGCTGTGAGCTATTAAGAGTGAGTCTGCTTCCTGCCTACCAAAAGCATGTTTTTCCATTCCTCAGCCAGGGAAATACAATATTCTGCCTTTTTTATATTTCCTAGAATATTTTATTTTTCTAGGAGAGAGGTGAGTGCTAAGTTCCAGACTTTTTTCCATTTCTGCAGAAGGATTAGGCCATGTATCCTGAGTTAAGCCTAAGTAACGATTTATAGCTTTCTGCTTCTCCTTAAAACATGCTTTCCTGTGTTGATTATTAATATTCAGCACAATAGGATTTCTGAAGCCCCAAGGCTGCAAAATGTGAGTCCAGTGGCATTTATGTTCTCTCTTCTGTATGAATTCACTGAAAGAACACTGCACTGGAATTGGACAACTAATAAATTTAAATAAATAATAAAAAATAATAATCATTCTTTCACATATCTCAGGCAACATTTAATGCACTTACAGTTTCTCCTCTATATAAATTCTTCAACACTTGGTAAGATTTGCATTCTAAGTACAGCTTTTTCCTCATTCCAGGGCTAAAATGATTTCTTTACTCCGTAAATATTTGAGAAATGATGGTCTTTGTAGCAACACTAAAGGTCTTCTCAGCGTTTATATTATTTATAGAGCTGTTTTTCTCCCTACACAGAAACCTTATTGGATGCCTTTTCTATGTAAATGTCTTGGTTTTCTTTCTTCCGTGTGCATTTTGGTCTGGATTTTAAACAACTTCCATTTCTGCAACCCGATACTCAAAATTAATTTTTGCCTCTTGATACACGGCTCTTTCAAACACATTTGGCTTGGCTTGTCTCATCTACTGGATGCTGCAATGAAAAGAGAACTAGAGAAAACAAAACACAGATCTGGAAACGACCCAACTGTACTATTTGGAAAATAAGAGAGAACACCTAAGTGTCTCTTCCCTTTTAGCATATCCAGTAGACAGAGCCAACAGAAACTGCTCTGAAAAACATGTGATCAAGGTTGGTTATAGTCAACTAGATGTTTACATTGGATTTGGCATTTTTATCTCTTTCGGGTTGTTCCCAAGGACCTGTTGCTTGATGGGACTGCTGCAGGATGTAAGCTGATCTGAGAAAAGCTGCTTTTTGCAATTGACTGATGGGGGTTTTTTTCAAGCAGTGGTCCAGAGGTTTTGAGATGGCACACAAGTCACTTTTTAGTATTGGTACTATGTTTGCTTTCTTTTGCCACTATCATCCCACCTCTGTTTGCAGATTTATTATTAATTGGAGGATGGAACAATTTATTCATTCGGGTTAAATCTCACTTTTTCTCCTGGAGCTCAAAGGCCCCTCCATCTTCCCTCACAACAAGCCTACAAAGTAGGATGATGATCATAAATGGTTCCGTTAAAGGTGAGACACTCTTATCATCAGCATTGTTTGGCCAAAGTAACAAGGATTCCACTTATATTTTTATTGTATAATTTGATTGTATAATTATATAAACAGAAGTGTAGAATCAAAATCACACAAAGTATTACAAAGCCTTTGCAAGGCTACACCTGGAATATTGCAACCAGTTTTGGTCACATTACAAAAAAGATGGTGAGACTTTGGAAAAAGTGCAAAGAGCAACTAAGATGATTAAAAGGCCTGGAGATAAAAACATATGAAGAATAGTTGCAGGAACTGGGTTTGGCTATTTTAGAGAAAAGAAGGATTAAGGGGGACATGATAGCAGTCTTCCAATATTTGAGGGGCTGCCACAAAGAAGAGAGGGTCAATTATTTTCCAAAGCAGAAGGCAGGACAAGAAACAATGGATGGAAACCAATCAAAGACGGAAGCAATCTGGAATTAAGGAGAAACTTCCTAACAGTGAGGACAATTAACCAGTGGAACAGCTTGCCCCAAGAAAACATGGACACTCCATCATTGGAGGTTTTTAAGAAGAGACTGGACAGTCACTTGTCTGAAATGATGTAGGGTCTCCTGCTTCAGCAGAGAGCTGGACTAGAAGACCTCCAAGGTCCCTTATAGTTTTATTCTGATTAATCCTTATGCGGAGAAGGCATATTCTTGTAATATTCTAACATGACAACATGAGACCATATGTAGTCCTGAGTTCAACCATTTTTAAAATTTCTTAGATTATCTTGTAATTTATTTCTGGAGTTCAAGTAGCTCGGTTTGGCTGAGAAAATGTAACTGGTTCAAAATCAGCCCGGAAGTTTCTATGCACAAGAATGAACTTGAATCCGCATTAGTCCAACACCTTTTAGCACTATATACAATCACATCTTGGAAAGTCAGCGTTGCCCAGAACGGAAAGGGAAAATATGTTCTCTTCACAAATAACCCCAGGCAGGATTTGGAAATGTTCCCAGTTCCTGCATAATTGTAAAGAAACATTAAAACGGTGATGGAAAAACAAATATACCAGGCACCCTTGACATTTCTAGAAGCAAAGGGAAAAAAACCCAGAACTGAGCTAAACCTTATTTATTCCTGCTTTCATTATCATAGCTACCTTAAGATAGGATCTATTGCAGAGAGGAAATTACACTGACCCGGTCAGCGTTGGGAAATCAGCACCCTCACCAGCACCCTTGACAGGGTGCTGGTGATTTGTTTTAAAAGGAGATTTGGGATAATGTCAGCGTTCCAAATATCATGCAGAATTAAATCAGAGTCCAAGGCAGAGCTATCCTTAAAGTTCCAATTTAATAAGATAGATATGTTGGCAACGAATTGTGGAAACCCCAAATCTGAAAACTTCCTGGGATTCCACCCAGTTGAAAGTTCATGATCTTGAGCTTCCTGGGTGGAGCCTGCTGGTG